AAGTCTTTATCTACATTATATACCAAAAGTTAATGTACGCAAATAAAAACAGAATACCAAGAAGTAAGATAACACGTGCATCATAAATATTTGTTGGAAGTGAGTAGAATAATAATGTAGAAGTTGGTTAATTGAAAATAAGTATTCGGCTGAATTTTAAATGCACTACTAAAATATTATTGCGCATACTTTCTTCCTTAGTTTTTTTTTTATAAATTTTAAACGAAGCTTAAAGTGAAAAGGACTGAAATTCTGGTACGAGTACTCATCTCGTATGACACCACTCAATCATCTGAGCTGAACGAAAAAAAAGTTTAATTAAGCCGATCTTTTAAACATATATGTATATAGTGTTTGTAGAGGTTAGATTTTCTGATAACGAGGAATCGGTCAAAAATCGGCCATATCTGACAACATTATTACCAATTGTTCTCTGCTTTGCTTGCCACTTCAACATGAATAGGCGAAGGTCAGAACAACGCTTGCAAATTAAGGGCCAGTATAGTGATGGCAAAAAAATTCGTATAATCGATTAATCGGTTAATTGATTAATCGAAAGCATTCGATTAATAATTGCAATTAATCGTAAGGAATTAACCCATCTATCGGTCATTTCGATTAAAATCGAAAATCAATAGAAACCATTTGCATATGTTATAAAAACTGACTCTTTTATTTAATGATACATTTCTTGTTAAATTGTGGAAACATGCGCCATGAATTCAGTACACTAACAATCAAGAAAACTAAAAACGAAGGAAAACAATAAATAAAAAGATATTAAGTAGTATACCATCCGTCACGGGGTATGTCAAGATTATAAGCGCACCACAACAGTTTTTTGTTGCAATTAAATTTTAGTTATTTTTTTTAATATACATAGCTTATTCTTTAGCAAACGCGTATAAGTATAAATATATCAAACTTTGTGCAATATTAAAAAAAGTTCAACAAATATCGAGCTTTTTTAATTAGATTTCTTAGAAAAATTTTGAGTATGCGGTTTTGTCGCCCATTACATTTTTTTATAAAAAATTTAGGTATGTATTATTTTTCGTTGACAGTGTTGCTTATTTTCTTCCATATAAAAAAGCATCGAACATACTTTGTATAAAAAAAAAATGCACAACACCACATTTGGAAAATAAAGTGAAAATGTGTGCATACCTGGGTTGTGGTTTTTTAGATTGAACTTGAGTTGCGTTTTTTTGCAAAAATATCGTTTAAAAATTTTTCAGAATACGAGTATGTGAAAAGTCTCCGAACTATTAAGATTATATTAGAGTGGGCGGGCAGTTTTACTGCTGCAAGTATTATTGAGTGGTTAGAGTGCCAATTTTGGTTACGTAAGTTTGATTCACACATCACACATTATTGTGTGAGTAAAGTAGTTATTTTTTACGGTTTCTTTTCGATTATTTTGAAAATTTATCGGTTAATCACTCGATTAATCGGAAGGAAAATGTCGATACAATTAAATCGGTAATCGAATGAAAATAACCTAATACAATCGGTTATTGGATCAATCGTGCCATCACTAGGCCAGTGGCTCAATGTCTGGTTAACACTAGCTACAGACAAAGCACCGTTATCGACGTGAATGACATATAACAAGGAGTGGATATCGTCGATAACGATATTTAGTCGGAGATAAGTGTTAACCAGACATTGGGTAAACGGCATATTTATTTCGAAGATCATGCCTCAGTACTCCTCAAGAGATCCACGAGGCAACGTTACATAAAAGAACTCAAATGCTTTATAGGCCTGTGGAATCTTTGGCAATCACCTTACGGCGAGAAAGTTGGTGTCTACGGCGAGCATTAGCTACATATAAAAATAACTTAGGGCGATATGTAGCAGTTAAGGAATATAAAATTAAGGTGCAAGCTGCAGAGGTTAGTAAAAAATTTTAAGATTTCAAATCGGTGAACTAGGTTAAAAATTATAAGCTTCCGAATATTTCCTTAACTTGTTCCCAGCGTATCTATACACAATTGTCCAGTTATACGAAGAAGTTAGGGCAATCTGAAGCACATTAAGAAGAAAACAGTTATTTTGAGAAAACTATATCATTCTTCTTAACCGCATTTCATGAATTAAATTTTTTATTTGCAGTTGACCGTGCTTTTCACACAAGTAAAAAGTGTCAGAAAGGTCGTTAGTGGGCAATGTGGTCTATTGTAAAATATTAACCCATGTCCAATGGAATTGTGATTCGAGAAAAGTATAGGAATTATTCGCAGTTTTGTAATCTATTTAGATGAGAGAAAAAAAAGATAAGATAACTTTTTTTTTTCAAACAGTTATGGCGCAGTATATGTAACTGTAAAACTAAGAGCTTTGTCAAAGTTTTGATTTAATTTTTTATATGAAGTGTCCAAAATTAGCCGGTATATATAATTTCACTTTTACTTAAACTTTTTATATAGCGGTTGATCTTTGGTATTGAAAGGGTTAAGACAGCTTTAGTCAAAAATTATGGAACTAAATATTTTTCACCAAGAAACGCCGCCAATTTCCAGTGGTAATTGCGTTTGCGATTACGATTAATAAAACCCTTGGACAGGCATTGTGGAAGGTAAGACTACACCCTAAAGATAATTGTTTTACTTACGGCCCACAGTGTCGCGACGCCATACAGACTGCGGCAAAAAATAGTAATAGTGCTCCGATCCCGCTGAAATTTGTTATAAGACCTTCTTTGACTGCAGAAAGAAGAAAGTTTTAATATGGTGGAAATTAAGTAGCTTGCACGCCCTCCAAACCAGTGAGCGGAAATTCTGAAAGTGAAAGTGTTTGATGAAATTTGATAGGTAGAATTATATAATAAATAAAAAAAAGTCAAAATCTAAAATATGATAGAGATCGGAAGAGAATGGAAGCTTGTATTATTATTATAAATGGAGGCTATTTCGAGCAACTAATTTGAAAAATCAAATTTTTAAACAAAATGCGTTTTTTAACTTATTGATAGAAAAATGTAGAGTTTGCCGCACTAAAATCGTGATGGTGGTGAAAGAATCCTACACTGAATATTTTAAATGAAATATTCAAAATATCAAATTTTAAAGGACAAAAAACGCCGAGACACGTTAACTTAATTTTTGGTCGTAGATTGGGGATCTGTACTCCATTTTTCTAGATCAGGTAATTTTTCCAAGATATTTTCATTTTAGATTTGCATTGCGAATGAAAAAAAAAATTTCTAGAAAAATGTTACTCACGAGCACGAGTATGTCCGAGTACGGCCACTTGCGATATGGCGTATGAGTAACATTCTGCTTCAATTTCATTCAAAAAATTATTGCACATTTTTATTTATATTTTTTAATTTTTTCCTTGTAAAAGTTTGAATTTTTTTCATCAATCAAAATATCTTTTGAAAATCAAAATATCTTTTGAAAGTAACCTGATCTAAAAACGGTATACAGATCCATAATCTTCGGCCCAATGCAAAGTTCACGTGTTTCGGCGCTTTTTTGTGTCATCTCAAAGCTTGAGATTTGCCTTACAGTGTATTTTGATTTAAAAGCTCGCCAACCAGAATTTAGGCCAGATTTTTCGCAGACAACCTTATATCCTCGGGTCCGCAATACAATTTTCTTTATTTTCATACAATATTTATTTATTAAGTGAGAGCGAAAACTACTAGTATTACTTACCTGTTCATACCTGCCAACCCGACAGATAGGCTAGGCAAAAATAGACAACCCAACGTGTTCCAATTCTATAGGGTTAATACTTTCGATTAGTATATAATTTGTTTTTAAAACAAATGAATGCAAATTAAAAAAAAAAAATAATAATTTTTGAATATTTCAATATTCCACGATTTACTAACCCGTTACATTCCACACAAAATAGATTTCATCCATTAAACATATGGGTGAAGGTCGGGCCCTATTCAATCGGATTGCGCTCAAACGGGCAAATGTACAGAGAGACATACGCACTCAGCTATGGTATACTTTGCCATGGGCCTATCGGACCAAAGTTATAACACAATTTTCATGTTCATGACAGGTACATAATATTATTCAAGGCGAATTAATAGAAAGCGGTGGCACCCGTATATTTATATGTCAAAAATTACACATAAAAATTATACGCACGATGACAGTATAAATTACAACAAACACAATCTTGACGTTATGATCTCCACGGTGAAAAATAAAGCTGTCGCCCCAACACCACCTTATTAACTTCGCCTTGCTCGTATCACAGATTTTTTATTTCTTATATACACTGCATAAAATTATTTATATATTATTTTCGAAAAAAAAATAAATCTTACGATAAATCCATTAAAAAATCCATTTAGAAATTGTGATGAGTCGAAAGATGTTCGATAATATTTTATGCGTTGTTTCTATATTTCTCGCGCTTTAATCTTAATACACTTAGTGTGTGGGTGTAATGGAGATGAACATGCATAGGAAAACTACATCGTGTTGCCGTTGCCGCATCATAAACATAGAAGCGCTGACAGGCATGCTAAAAGGCATATTGGCTACAAGGCAAGAACATCAATTTAATGCAAACAATGTACTCGTTTGTTGCTTTTACATTTCACTTTCTACAATTTGCTCGACTAAGACAGCTCTTATTTGTATGAATGCAAAAAAATTTTGTTTGTAATTGGATACTTTGTGCAGACTATTTAAAAAAATTTACATTTCCTTATATTTACTTTACTAACGCTGTGCGCATGCAATACCTTTTTAAAATAAATGGAAATTATATGTATCTAAAGTCTTTTTTCCGTGTCTTAGTTAGCGATCAAAGATAAACTTATTTTAACCGCAATTCTTAAGGCAACAGTCTCGTCACAGGTCGACAAAGTTGTAAGACTAAGGGCCCTATTCTGTATCACGAACGATAGGCAGAACGATCGATTCGTCTGCAGACGACAACCTCTCTAATTGCGATTTTGAACTCTATCGGTCGTCTTCGTCTTGCTTTTCATATATCCCGTTGTAGTGGTCTCGGTTGCGTTCAAACCGGCTAAAATGATGCCACCGGACAAATTTTTGAGGCATTCCTCTGCAGACAAATCGTTCGTGTTGCCTATCGTTCGTGATACAGAATAAGGCTGTAAGTAACACATTTGAAATAATTTTTAGTAAGATCATATGATGTAGACCCACGAATATTCACGGAATCTGAAAAATGCAAAAAATACCACCGCAGTCTTAAAACAAAATGTGGTAGGTACTAAATTTTAACTGTACTATCTCTTACAACAGTTGTGAGTTTAAAATGTAAATGTTTCTTTAGTTTCATTAATGAAAAGACAACCTTGAAGCAAGGAGTGTTAGCACTAAGTAAAGGCATTTACTTAACTGCATTTTTCATTTTGTTTATTTGTAAGCATATTCGTCGACAAACAATTTAAGTAGCTGTCTGCCTTTTTGCCATTAAAGAAAAGCATGCTCGTGAGTTTTCTGAGGGTGGTTGATTTCTTTTCAGCCAAACAAGAAGTCTATTTGTAGAGATGTATGCACATAATTACATACATATGTATGTATACAGTTATATTTTACTTCACTTACTGTCTTTTCCCCCTATCAAGTTTTCATATGTTGCTTCAATGCCAGTCTGAACAAAGGCCTTTATGACTTTTGTGTTTGTGCATATTTGGCTATTTTCCAAGACTTATTTTGACTTATGTCTTTAACAGAGTTGAAAAGCACACTCCAATTCGTAGTCTGATGAATATATGTACATATTATTGAAGAGGTAAAAGTCCAATGAAAAAATAATCGTTTGTTATGTGCCTTTAATTTTTAGAACAAGAAATTTGTGATGGAACTTGTCTTGTGTAAAGAAATGATAACTATGCTTAATTTTTTTCGATGAATTTAATAATTTGGTGCGATTCCAGACAATGCTAATTCGGTTGTGTCGTGCCGGGCCGGGCCTCACAAATTTTTCGAGTATGTGTGTTTTATACCCGTGCCGGGCTGGGCCGAAAATATTACTGCGGCGCCCATCTCAACTTTGCACCACGATTTTGTTTTTAGGAAAACTGCAAAAGAGAACAAAGTCTAAGCGATAGAAGTTACAGCTGTTATTTCGGACGAATAAAAATTGCGCAACTTTCGAAATGACTAGAAAGTGTGGGGAATGTATTTAGGAAGGAATTTTTATTGACCTTTTAAGCCGCTGTAAAAATTAAATGAAAGAAAAGTTAAAAATTTAAAATAAATTTTCTTATAAATAAAGAAATTTCCACAAATATTAGTACAATTCGAAATTCCTGCGCAAGACCCTGACCGATATCGTTTATTAGGTAGGAGACATTAAAAAACGATCGAACTCATAACTCATTTTTGACTCCATAAAAGCTATTCCTAGTTTAAAATTTATTGGCGTGTAACGAAATAAGTATTTAATACTTAAGAGCTATATTTATATCGTTTTTTCTTTTTTAGAAATATTCGAACTTTGCAACGCTTTCTTTTATTCTCCTGAGACTTTATTTCGCAAAACTCTCAAATAATTTTAGAAGTGAGTCTTGTACGCGTGCATATACTATTTTTAGATTTCAATAAAATATCAATTAGAAGAGGCATTGGCATGCATATCTCTGGTTATAAATAACTTACACAATCTATTGTATGAAATAAGTACAGAACCTTTTGCAAGCTCTTTTTGATGGAAAATATTTATTGAATTTCCATTTCGATTCGATAAATTCTTTCACATGCACTACCTACGTGAACAGAGTAGGCCGTTCACCTATGCACTTGAGCCACTTACTAATACCAACAGTTATTGAACTCACCTCAACATTTTTGCATCACAGCACTCAACACAAAGCAAATTTTTGAAATTTTGAGTTCACCGAGTCAAACGAAGATAAAAAGACATGACAGAAATGCATTGGTGTGCGAGTGATAGCAAAAATTGCAAATCAGTATCACCAAAAGCACATGAGGACATATACACACATACACAGGCAAATATGTGCACACATGTACGTATGTTACCCAGGGGAAACCACGAACTAGTGAATCAAATTTCTAGTTCCGTTCTAGATCTTTATCGCCAAAAACAAACCAGTCCGATAGTAACTATATCCCCACCATTTAAAAACCAACGAAATTTGGTACTTTTAAAAAACTATTTTATTTCACTTTTTTCATTTGAAATCTATATCTGAGGCGACGAATTTAGAACTAGTTCGGAACTATCGAAAAAGCGATACAGCGGCGGGCAATTGACACTTCCTAGGACATCGCCATGTTAAATTCGCCAGTTTTTTGCATACAACCATAACTCGGTCTAAATGTACTAGAAGCGCACCAGTTCAGAACTAGAGACTTTCCCCATAAGGTATATATGGGTAATGTACATATTTAATAGGCATAAGGCTTGGCAATACTCGCATCCTATGATGATGAGAGTGCATCTACATGTAAATTGCTTATATTGGTTGCAAACAAAGCAATGTTAACCTTGCAGCATCACAACCGTTAACTGAGTGACAATGCACTTTTAAGTGTTACATATATGTATGTATGAAAGCCTGTCATTAAGTGAGAATCCTTGACTAGTTGAGTGACAGGCACTTACAAGGACACTGTGAGAAATGTGGCCCTTTTCGGAATTATCGTAATTATCGATGAAATGATTCTCTATTTTATGCTTTATATTTATATCGAAAGTTTTTAACTTACTTCTGGCAATTCGGAATTAATTACTAGTTGGTACCGTTTTATAGTGCATTTCGATTAATAGCTATTCAATTATCAATCTATTAGAGCAAGCCAAAACATCCTGCAATGTTACTGGAAACTGACTAAGATTTTAGTATTTGTTATGGTTATGTTCCTCCTGGAATCGTCCCTCTCTACGATAATTCTAAGGAGTGGCGCATCGATCGTTTATTTTTCCCATAGAAGTAACACGTAAAAAAAAAATATATTTTTTTTTGAGGTTAATATGTGGGCAAAACTTTTGAGGAGTTGTTTTTTTAATGTCACTCCCTCCTCCCGCCAGAAAAAAAACGCTTAAGCATTCATCTTGCATTTGTTTCAATCAATGATGTTTCAGAAATAAGTTCAATAAAAACTAAATCAAGTATTCGCACAGTTTTACGCTTAAAACGTTGATCTAGGGGAAAAGGTACCGAAATTACTAATTTTTTCATTGTCACTCGAAAGAGTCATAATTATTATTTTTTGATATCTTTGGGAAGTTTTCAGATAGCATGTTCATATTAGTGGGGGTTCTGTTAGTGGACATGAAACTTAAATACTGGTACGTTACTCTCCAAAAACTAAAAAAAAGTGGACTACTCATTTGTGCAATATTAAAAAAAAATTCAACAAATTTTCGTACAAATTTTGAACTTTTAAAAATTCTAAAAAATCAATCGACATTTTAAGCCATTTGAAACGTGTACTTTATTCTACTAGAATTCAATGGGTTATAAAACTGCATACTCAGAATTTAATAAAAAACTCGAAATTTTAACGAAAATTTGTAGATTTTTTTTTAATTGCATACATTTTTAAGGCAGTGTCACTCGATTGGTAAATTTGTACAGATTTATAAATTTTTATATTGGGCTATTGGTAAAAAAAGTGCATTCAAAGGATTGGTACAATACAGCGATGTTCTATCAATAAATTAATTTCAATAAATTAATTTTCGTGATTGGGATAGTAAAAAATATTTTGGGTGTTCAAACAATTGGGATACGATTTACACCAAATTTTAGCAAATACCCAATCGTGCGACACTGCCTTTAAACATGTATTTATACGGATGTTGGTAAAGAACGAACTATTAAAAAACAAATTAAATAACAACAAAAATAATATTTTAAAATTTGTCAAAATTTGGTGCGGCTATTATTTTTTCGACTACTGTACATAAATTGGCTATGATTACTTGGCCGACTTTCATAGTAGCACAATGCCACTCATATTTGACTTACAAACAAACTAATGGCAGGAGTTTCAAGATTTCAACCCTGTTTTATGAAAAATTTCATTTTTACCAGTATTTTTCTTTTAATCAAAATATGTTGAAATAAAAGTGAAACTAAAAAAAAATTTGCCATAAGGTATCACATACAATTTTTCTTCATAAGTTAAGAAATATAGGCTTTCATTCGGTTTGTAGTTATGTCGCTTATTTACGTTCACTTCAAGAACACTTGTATAAACTTGAAGTTAGGTGCCAAACAAATTCGTTATCCCTCAATATAAAAAAATGCTTCCATATATCCCTCAATAAAACATTTAAATTTTTCCAATTCACATTTATTTAACATATGTAATTCAAATAAACAACCCCCTTCTGTTAATGACTTTGTTTATCTTGGTGTCATTTTTGATTTGCCTTTGTTAATCAGATATGTTATATTATTCCGCAGACATAGACTTTCTAAAAAAGCATGCGAAAGATTTTAAGGATCCCTATACTAGAAAACATATCTTTAACTCTCTTGCTCGCTCAAAGCTAAAATATGTCTCGGTTATATGGAGTGCAATTTATAGCTACCAAGCACGTCGTTTTGAACGGGTCCAGGGGAAAGTTAATTGGTTTTCCTTTCGGCCGCTTCGTTTTTCAGACTCTCTTCCGGTCTAACAACTCGTTGAATGCTTTCACATTTCAATTCTCTTGAGTTTATTAGTGGAACCAATGATATGGAATTATTAATGTGGCATGATTCGGTTAAGTATCGCCAAACATCCACCTAAAAATATGTACATATATCTCCGAAAATTATGTTTTTCCTGCTGTATCTCGATATGGGTGTTTCCCTATTTCGTAAATGCAAATTATAAAAAAGGTCTAGGTGAATCTTAATTATGAAGTCAAAAAAGGTATACGATTTGTAAAATAATGGCCTATTGGCATACAAAATAAGAACATATTTCATGAAATATCTAAAAATATTATGACATGATTTAGAAAACTGATATACAGATCCGTAATCGACGACCCAAAATTAAGTTAACGTGTCGTTTTGTGTCCTTTTAAGGACCCTACAATGCCATTAAAATCCTTTAAAAAAATGCATGCTTACTAATGAAAATAACTTTCTTTTTACTTACAGCGACTTGGTGCCACCGAAACTCACATGAAATAGCAACTTAATGATTTTTCAAATATACTGATAGTGGAAACCAATGTTCACTATTAATCTAATAACAGACACGGAAATAAGTGAGAAAAAGTGTTAACCACAAACGCTATTCTGCCAATAAAGTAATATAACAAAACTATTACAGAAATATCAAATCAATCTTGGACAATTGAAAATTTAGCGAACCATTCACAAAAATAGAAAATATAAGCGAATAAACTAAAAGTGAAAGCCACAGCTAAGTGGCAGCTGGAGAGTATGTGGTTGAAACTCAGCTGCACAAATGACCATAGGTTATAAATGGCAAGTCATTTTTTGGATGTTTGTGTAGTGACAGCTAAATTTGTCAAATATGTGAGAAAAATATATATATACATGCAACATAGTACACAAGAAGCATACAACATCGAACAATGCATAATTGAATGAAAAAATGGAAGTGAAAGTATCGATAAAATAAACATTCAATTGAAAAT